GGGGGGGGGGGGGGGGGGGGGGGGGGGGGGGGGAAGAGGGGAAGAAAGTTGGGCTCCTGGGGTGGCGAGGAGGGGGGGAGGAGGGGAGAGGGAGGCGATAAATGATGTCGAAGACAGTTCCCTTCACTCTTACACTGCTACTTGAAGGAGGGGGGGTTCCCAGAGATCCATTCTCCCCCCTCCCCCGCCTTCCCCCTCCTGAATCCGCCAATGTCTGCTCATCACTGTTTTATTATTTTGGCACTGTATTTACCAGAACGACGTGTGCAGTGCTCTGGATTCTGTATTTTCCCAGAAATAATTGTTTTGGATGTAATTACCATGCATGTTATACATATCGTTGTCTTTGTGATTTGCTTTTTTTAGCTATAATCAACCTTTATGTGTCTGAATCAAGATTTCAATGCACAGATAAGAAACATAAGCGCAAAATTTAAGCGCGTAGTGCGCGAAATTGTAGTTTAAAACAAATACGGTTTTTACTTGTTATTGCAAGCGAGCGTTTTTTGGCCGTTGTTTTCTCAGTTATTTGTTCGTTCGTTCGTTGTTGGTCTCAGGAGTAGTTTTGTCAATAATAAATGTTAATGATCTCTGTAAACATCCCTCCTCCTTCCCTCTCTGCCTCGCCTTGTTGTCATCGTCTTGACGGGTTGCGAGCTCCTTCGCTTCCTACCACATACATCACGTGTTTCACATATCGTTGTTGTTATTACGTTTTGCATTTGCTTGAATTGGAGAACGTTGCTTTTCGCGTTGGCAGGGACCTGGTTGGCTTTATTCGTTCATTCACTTCCTCTTTTCATTTTTTTTTAATGGAAAATAGGCTAATAAAGTTGTCTTGACACGTCAGCGGAACGACTTCTAGGTCTTTTTTTCAGTTGATAAGAGAGGAAAAGGGAGGGCAATTTCGTTGTATAAGGAAATTTATGTACTTCAATAGATTTCAAAAGTAAGTTACGTGTCTTAGACGTTTTGTAGAAATTTTGCTTCTTTAACTGGCGTTTTCTGGACAAAATTTTGAAAAATTTGAGCTGTGAGAGTTTAGAAAAAAATTTGATCAGAACTGTGAAAAATTCTCGGAATTTTGGAAATTTGAAACTGTAAGAATATTTGTGGAAAGCGGGTAGAAGTAGAATAAAAGGAGGAGCCATAAAAATGCTTCATCTTTGGTTATTCCGCTAGTAATATTATAGTGT